GGGCATAAGCTTCAGGTTCACATGAAGGCTGGGTTTGCAGAAAACCATGTTCACACTTCATGGACATGACAAAGTAATGCAGCTGTTTGCCACCATAGCAACTAACTGCCAATGATGCATTTCCTGGCCTCTGAACTTAGGACAGGTAGTTTAAAATGGCCAGTAATGGGAGCTTTGTTATGTGCTAGCCCCCTAACTATACAAAGCAGGGTTCCTAGCAGGCTCTCGTCAGTGGGTGTGTTTGAGTAGATAGGGAGAGCTGACAGTGTGCTATAGTTCTGCTGCACAGTGCTATATGCAGTGTTGTATTGTGCTACATTGCTGTGAATTGCAGTATGGTGGGCTGTATATTAATGTGTACCCCGTGTTCACAGTGCTGTAGTGTTCTACAGCGGTGCGGTGGGCTACATATTTGGTCTCTTAACCGCCATGAGCACCGTGCATAGACCTAACAATCTTGTGTGTCAGCAACAACTTCAGTTGTTATTCAGCTGCCAAACTCTCTCCCTATCCACCATTTTTTGGTGTTGTCATTTTTTATTTCACTTTAGTATTTGATTAGAAAATTATATAAAAAAGGTTGAGTTTTAGCATTTTAGGGTTTCTGTGGGGAGGTATATTTTAACCACCTGCTGTCCTGCCGTTGTAATTAAACGGCCGGACAGTGGCTTCTTGAATGCAGAGGGGCGTCTTTAGACTTCCCATCCCTTCCCGCTCGTGCCCGCCGCTAGGCAGCACGCACGAGCAGGAAATCGGCTTTGAATGTAAACAGCCAGCGATGGCTGTTTTCATACAAGCGTTCGGGCGTCTGTAGAGATTAGTGGTTAATAGAGCCTTCTTTGGGGGGGGGGGGGGGGGGGTCAGTGGCATGAACTTGTGACTGACACAGCATTTCACCACCTGTGCTGTAAAGTTTGCATACCAAATGACCATGTCTTTAGAGCATCAAAGCACCACATGCTTCTTACCTCTATTGCCATAGCTGAGATTAAAGTTAGACAATCCCCTGTAGTCACAATGTCAGGCAGATCTAAAGGGAGAGGAAGAGGTTTTGCACACCAGATTAGCAGAAGGTAAGCATGTCCTGCAGGACAAATGGCAGGCAGGTCAAACCATACAGGAGGTAAGGGACATCTGCCTTTTCCTTCTGGCAGTGGGCATGTTATACAACAAGAGCACACAAAAGAGCTAGTTGAGTGGTTTACAAAGCCTTTCTTTTATTCCTCCTCTCAGGCACAAAGCTGCCACTTTCCTACTACTGCTGCAAATCTGCCCTTTTCTTCATCCTTCTCTTATAATATTGCCATAGCCTCACAAACAGCAATATAGGAGGGAAGTCTCAAAGGGTTTCAGAGGCATATCTTACGGCACATCGAAGGGACAATGCAGAAGGCCAAGAGTAGGTTTGAACCTCACCATTACTCTAACCCCACCCTGCCATCTCCAGCAGCATCCTTGATCAGCCAGGTTTCTCTTCCACAACTGAGTGAGAAGAAATTGTCCCCCCAAATCACCCCCATGACCAGCATCTCTATGTCAGCTTTGCAAAACTGCTTGCTTTACAGCTGCTCACATTCCATATGTTGGAGTCAGCTCCCTTCTGCAAGTTTATGGCCTCTACGGTTTTTTTTTCCAGAATGCAATCCATTCCCTCCACCTGCATGTGGAAGGCAAGATATTTGTGTCACTAAACCATGCTGGCAGCGGCAAATTCCACATGACCACAGACATGTAGTACAGTAATCATGGGCAGGAATGTTGCATATCCTTTGTGACACACGCCAATGCTAGTTCCTTCGAATAATTTACCTCCTTTTTTCCACCTTACTTGGGTTAGGAGAGCATTAAGAAGATCAGTACTAATATGAATGGAGACCAGCATTTCTGGCATCCTTCTAAAAATGCTAGTTGCCCAAGTCTCTAGCTTCCATACTTTCAGGGTCAATTCATACCGTTTTGTTGTAATGCACAGCAACACATGTTACATGCAATGGTATGATGCAGTGTCAATAATTCTGAATGAAGCCCCATCACACCTTGCTGACGTACATGTCTTGTGCTGTGAGAAATGGTACATGCACCTTTTTTGGTACATTCTGGAGCAGAAGGCAGCTTGTTCAAGTAAAAGGGCCATGTAGGAAGCCCACACTGGCAGTGATGCACATACAGCACTTAGGGGGTCTATTCACGGGGGTCTATTCACGAAGCTGCCGAGGGCAGCCGAGTGAATGACTGATCTGAAGTGAAGTGAGCCGAACACTGTTCGGCTATTCACTTCAGGGTGGTATGGCTAATTTCAGCCGCACATCGGCTGAAATCAGCCGTACATTGGCTTGCTTCGTGTGGCTTCGGGTCGGCCGAACATGCTCAGCATGTTCGGCCGACCTGAAGTGCAGGAGTTCGAATCAGCCGATCCAACATCTGGATCGGCTGAGCCGAACCTCCGGCAGGCTTCTCACTGCTGTTCGGGCTATTCTTAAAGATCCCAAACAGCAGTGAGTGAATAGCCGAATGCCGCCGAGCGGCATTCGGCTCGTCTGTTCTGCTCGGTCCCTCAGAGGTACCGAGCAGAAACAGTTAAAAAAGTAAAAATAGCAAACGATATGTGCGGAGCTAGCTCCGCCCAATAGTTTCCTATTGTCCGGCGGCTCTGCTGCTGTAAAAAAAAAAAACTCTCCGGGCGCTCTGGGAGTCTCCTGCTCCCGGCCGCCAAGGAGAGAAACAGTGCTGTGTCTTTTTTTCTTTATTCTGACACGAGCGATGTCAGAATAGAAAAAAAAAAGAAAATTTCCCATTCAAAAGCATTGGGAGTTTACTATTGGCTATTTCAATTTGCAATAGCCAATAGTGAACTAGCATTGTTCCCGCCCTCTGCTGATGGACCTGATGGGGAACTGCAGCAGAGGGCGGGTACAATGCTAGTTTACTATTGGCTATTGCAAATTGAAATAGCCAATAGTAATGTCCCAATGCTTTTCAATGAACCGAAGGGGTCCTGGGGCCGAAGCTAGCCGAAGGATCGGCCGAAGCTACGGGCAGATTCTTCGGCAGCTTCGTGAATAGACCCCTTAATATTATAACTGCTGGCATGCATCTGCATTTTGTATTCATAGGCTTTGTACGCACTCATGCATGCATAAGAAAAGGGAACCTTTGTAAATGCTTTGTTCTAATGATACTTCCAGCATGTGAGAATATAAAGAAAAATTGAACCATCAGGTTAACTGTAGTCCTGAACAGAGTTCTGCTGGACCCCATGGAAGTTTAAATGCAAATATCTACTAGAATAGAATTAGTCCTACTTTTGCCCATGATTTTGTTGATGTTGATTTGGTCTGTATGCATCTACATTATGGTTTTATACGTCTATATTTTTGCTTTATTGGTGACACACTTCATGTGTTGGGTGGAGAGTGTTTTGGTTGGGAGTGGTCCCACTGGCCACTGTGTCTAATTGACTTAAGGCAGACTGGGACGCGCCAAAACGTTGTCATAATAAAAGTGTTTCTTCCCTTTTCCAATCCTTGGGTGCACTTTCTGAAAATAAGTATATAAATAGACCTAAGAGCACTTCTCATTTGACAGTTTTTAGACTAGGCAACACAATACTGTAGTGGGGGGTGGAGACATGGCAATTTGCCTCATGCACAAAATCAGGGTATTTCTGGAGCATCCAGCTGGGCGCTCAGGAGATGGACAGTTAAATGAAACAAGTGTAGAGCTTACATTCAAGCTACAGTCAGTCAAATACAGGTGCACTGTAGGCCTTTCGAATCTGGATTTGCCAAGCCAGACATAATAGATTTGGGGACAATTTAGGGTCTTTGAAGCGGACCTTTACACTCAAAAAAATCGAATTCTACCAATGCGCCCTCTATGTATGATTATTAATATCATAGACATGTCAGGTGTAAAATGCTGTGATTATGAAATACTTACACTTGCAGAGCATTCACTTCCTGCTGTGAAAGGGCAGAAATGACTTCAGTTTGACAAATCAATGCACACTGGGATTACCTTGTCATTAGAGCATTGCTGTGAAATCTCATGAGATCTCAGGGAAAGGCATTTTCCTCCCCTGAGATGATGTTCATGGTCACATGTCCTAGTAAGCCAGAAAGTAATAGATGAGCTAGTAATCTGCCCTTAGTAAACATGGCCATTGTCAGAAGACTAGGGAAGAAAAGAGAAATAAGGAATGCAAAGAATACAAAGCCTGCAATTATCTAGAAGTATGTGTTTGTAGATTGTCATTACTAAATATTTCGAAAAGGTGTGTTTGTTGTTATTTTAAAGATATGGGTAAAGGTCCGCTTCAAGACCCTTAACAGAACAGTATTTTCTTTTTCTAAAACCAGTATGTTCATAGAAAATTGGATCAATAAAATCTATAAAAATAAATACCGTATTTGCGCTCCATAAGATGCACCGGACCATAGGACGCAGGGAGGTTATGTGACAGCATCTGTAGTTAGTGACAGCTGAGACAGGTGGCGCTGCGATTACAGCGCCACGGTCTCAGTGATCACACAGAGCAGACGAAGAACGTTCTTAGTCTGCTCTAGGGGCTCAATGGTGAGCTCCTATGCCGTGGTCACGGGTCCCCCAGAGGAGCGGGGGACCCTGAAAACAATCGCCACAGCTTGATTTGATACAAGTGATCCGATTAGATCACTTGTATTAAACGAGCAGCTGCTCCCACTGTATATTCAGCTCTGCTTGTCTGGAGCAGGGCTAAATGTACAAAAAACTAACTCGCCCCGCGCCCAAAACTGCATGTCCCAGGCGATAGGGATTCGCTCCATAAGACGCACACACACATTTCCCCCCGGCTTTTGGGGGTAAAAAAAGTGCGTCTTATGACACATACACTAAAAGCAGAATGGACACTATATACACAAAACAATTATATTTATTACATACACAATTTATGAGTTTATAGTGATTTGCATTTTTTCGGTAATTGAAACTGAAAACCTGTTAGTAATTCTAAAATGCAGAACTTCCAGATAACCAACATAAATCTACTGAAGTCTTCTACTGATTTACAAATTAAATGTTTAGTTGTCAGGGCCACAAAGGCTCAGCATAATGGTTTCATAGTCTCCTTTCAGTTTTTCTTCCTGCAAATTTAAAGATGTGGATTAATAACTGTAAAATCAATAGCAACTGCATAAACAGACAAATTTAAAACATTACCAAACGGGTGCAAGGAGAACACAAAAGAAGCACCACTCCTCCCACAGCTCAGGAAAGGAATGTCCAGAATGCTTGCAACTGGGCATGCCCTTGCTTTAATATGAGCCCATACAAACAGAAGGAAAGCTGGCCACACACCGGATTACACTGGGATGATTTATTGAAGCTTGCACCACAACACTGGTGTCCCCAGGGCTGGATTTACTCTCTCTGCTGCCCAAAGGCCAAGTTCTTCAATGCACCCCCCTACCTGCCAACCCCCCCAATAGAGAATGGAAGACCTGCAGGCTGCCTACAAGTGATCTCTGCAACATCGCCGAGATCACTTGTACAAAACAAGCGGCGGCTTCCCTGCTATACATTTAGCTCTACTTGCCCGAAGCAGGGCTAAAAATTTAGAAAACTACCCGCCTGATGTCCGGAACTGCATGTCCCGGGCATCGGGAGATAGGAATTCCACACCCCTGCTGTCCCTCTACTCCCTGCTGCCCCGAGGCCGGGCCTTAGTTGGCCTTGTGGGAAATCCAGCACTGTGTGTCCCTCCCAAAGACAGGTTTCACCGAATAATGGGCTTAGGTCGTAGAGATAGCGCTATAACTTGTCTTGTGCTGCTATTACCTTCTGGTGCATTTCAGATAATAAATATCCAAAAAATAATTCATAGCCAAGACGTCCAAACACCAAGAGGCTGATTCATAAAAACTTCCATCCGGAATATAGCTAAGCAAATGCCATTCACACAGCATTAGATGGAGCCAAAGAGATTTCTTATGCTTCTTGACTCCATCTAGTGGCAGTAATGCAAACCGAACGGCATTGGCCCAGTTATACTCTGGTCAGAAGTTTATTAATTAAATAAGCCCACAAGTGTTTCCTAGGTGAACGAGGGAAATGAATGCAGCATAAAGAGGTCACACAGGAGTGTAGAGCCAAAGGAAATTTCACAGCTCCAATTCCTTAGCCTCCATCAGGACTCCCCAGGTGCTGGTCTAACCTTGGAATGTAGTAGTACCGCACTATCCAGAGAATTCCATACTTCAGACTTTATTGAAATTCACAGCAAATCCAGAATAACAGTGAATAAAAGTGTATAAAGCAACAAATACCAGCACTGCACACCCCCAACCAGCTACAGCCTCTTGCATGTTTCACCCTAGGTGTATTCATAGAGGCATAGGCGTATTCATAGAGGTCTATGAATAAGCCATGCGAGAGGCTGTAGTTGGTTGGGGGTGTGCAGTGCTGGTATTTGTTGCTTTATACACTTTTATTCACGGTTATTCTGGATTTGCTGTGAATTTCAATAAAGTCTGAAGTATGGAATTATCTGGATAGTTTGGTCTGTTTGTATACTACTAGGTCACACAGGAGGCTTTTGGATTACTGGGGGTCTAGTCTCTACTGTTGTCATTGTCCATACATAAGTTATAAAGGAAATCATTGGTGGTTGAAGAATACCAAATTGACCCAAAAACCTTGCTAGATTTGGGGATATGCAATAAGATGTGCCTATATACCGTAGTCATGATCCAGAATGCATTTTTCTGCAAAATTATGGCACTTGTGCCATACTACTGTAGCTGCTATAGGTCCCTCTTTGGATACAACCATCATTATGCCTACCTGATTCAGCCCCACTGCTTCTATTGTTCATTGCAATTGGCAGTTCAAGACACTTGGAGTAACACTGCCTCTACAGTACTGCATGGCAACTTCAGAGAGAAGAGTAAATGCAGAAAAGGGGCCAGGAGTACAATCACCAATGTTAATCTTCACCCCCCTCCCCAATTAGAGCTATACAGTTTTTTTTACAATATCATAACAATAATTTCATATCACAATGTTGAAACTAAAAAAAAATTATACCAACCATAATAGCCTGACGCAAGGATTTTCCATACAACTTCTTGTAGTGATATTTGATCTCTTTTAGGTCACATTCAGATCGAGATACAAGAAGCCTAATTAAGTCTTTATGTTTGGTTCCAGAGCCCTAAAATAAACAGCATAATAAATGCTAAGGATATTTCTAATGAATACCATAAGACACACCGATTTACATGAAGTTGACCACCTTTACAATAAATAGAAAAAAGTACATTCCCTTATATTTCTTTTCAACTAAACAGACACCAGGAATTTAAGTTATCTTCTCAAGCACCCCAGACCCAAAACCCAGCAGTAGGAAAACTTAAACTAGACCTTGGGCCTCTGACAGATGTGCATACCAGCACGTCTGTCAAGCTTGATGCATATTGAAGGAGCTGGATGGTATTTGAACAATGTTTTTCCTTTAATATGCATTAAGGGAAACCTGTACATAGATGCATGTGTTGGCTGCCCGCTTCTGAAAATGCTACCTTAGCTAGTTACCTGGCAATTTTCTGTTCATACTTTGAGTAAATAACCCTGAACAAAAATGCAACAAGTGAGAAAGGCAGTATTTTTTGCGGTTTCACGGGCGAATGCAATTTTCAGGCTTGAAATGTTTGGTATCCATTAGCCTGGCATGACCCCATCATTTATATTTTACCAAATAATTTCGAGTATTACAGTCTGCTTCTGTGCACTAAATTTCATTTTAGTGTATTTTATCTTGAAATACAGGTTTGGAAAACATTTGCACAAATACCGTGCAACATAAAAAATTGCAACTAGAATTTTCTTCTACAGGGCCTCTGCTTTCAGAAAATATTGTTTGGGAGTCTGAAGCGGTTTTCAAAAACGGCCAGACAGGAGCCTTCTAGATGCGGGTGGGCGTCTTAAAATGTCCTTTCCCGCCCACACTTTTGCACGCACTGGGTGGGAAAACGGCCTAAAATGTAAAACAGCCAGTGATGCCTGTAGAGACGCCCGATCGCTTGTATTTCATGTGGGTTTTAGGCCCCCACCGCGCCGGTCCCAAGCTCCACTGTGCCCGGTGCAGGCAGTACCAGCACAGCGGCCGTCACCTAAGATCAGAGGGAGATCAGTACAGGAAGCTTCATCAGCTTCTATGGGGGACAATAGTGGTCTTAAGAGACCCCCGATGTCTCCATAAAGAGGACCTGTCATGTAAATTGGCTATTTAGCCCCCTATGACTTTTTAGCCCCATATGTGATAGCAATAAAATGAAGTGTAAATAAAAAGAAAAAAACATTAAGTCCCCAGCACTTTATTATTGCCCCAATACTACCAAAAGAAAGCTCCGTCTGTAACACACACACACACACACACAGATATATCCCACACACACACACACACACCACAAATATTACTTTAGTCATGTCTTTCGTATAAGTAGTAATGAAATATACATACCTTCATTGCCAAGTTGAATCTTTCAGCAAAATAAGCTGGTTTGGATGATGCAACCTTCACTGCAAAATTTATATATAAACAGTTAGAAATCCCTAAAGGATTCATCAGAGATCTTTAGAGAACACATGAAGTCAATGCACAGATTTCAGAACAGTTTGCGTCTGGATCAGCTGTCATTTTGAGTTAAAAAAAGGAGCATAAAGTTAGCAATGAAGACTGGTTCACTTTTGATACAGTTTAATACAAGCCACTGCTTGCGAGCTGCATGAAGACGCATGATACCATGGACCATAATGTTGCATGTTTTACATGCATTTAAGTGCATACAAACTGCACAGCTGTGTGGACTGAATCTTCTGCATTAGAAGTGTAACTTTGACATTTCATAAACTACATTTAAACATGTCAAGAACTGCAAGAAAGCATAATTCTAGATGAAAAATAAAGCAAGAATTTTAGCTAAGGTGACATATTAGCCTGTGAAAAAATAAAACCTTGTGCTCATCAGTCATGCATAATATACTGTCTGCTCTAGACAAGTGCCTACACACTGCTTGGAACCAAAAAATGGACCTAGGAGCTATTGGTAGGGAGCCAGTGCAATGTGACCGATTGGGCAAGAGGTTAGTAATTTGTTAAACATTATCTCCTGCCATAATTTGGGTCTATTCTGTCGCACTGCCAGCCTATTTTAAAAAGGTATGTCCTAATACAACTCAAGGTTGAAGCAAAATGAAAATATGCTATATGGCAGCTTACCAGTACTTTAATATGGTGGCTGCATTAGTTTGTTTTGTTTTTCCCCCCAGACCTTTTTTTAACCGGTGATGCGGTCAGTAACCATCATGTCCTAGGGTTACAATGCTGATTTAAAAAAGGTACTGTATCTATGAAGCAGCGGCATTGTCACCTTCGGTAGGTTCCTCTCTCCAGCAACTGTCGGGCTCTTGGTCCTTGACAGAGTGCCCGACTTTTTAGAGGGGGGGGGCGGGGATGACACCAAAATGACTGTCACCCCTCCAATGGTGTCACCCGAGTGCGGGCCGAATCCCCCCTTGTGACGCCACTGCTGGTTCTGTTGTCTGCACATAAAGTATTTTGCATCACAATTCTGAAAAAAAAAAAAAAAAAACACTCACCAAGGGATATCAGGCAATTTTCAATGTCTCCTTTCAGCTCAAGATCTATAGCCTTGGCCACATCATTTTTGCTGTATGCGACATACCTGGAGAAAACTAAAAAAGGGGAAAAAAAAAAAAAAAAAAAAAACCAACTTTATTAAG